GCTTTTATATTTTCATTTGAAAAGGGTCCCCATGCTGCTGAGCAATATTCCAAATGAGGCCTTACATAAGAGCAGTAAAAAACGCACACATTTCAAAAGTCCATTGTTTGAAAGTGCATCTAAAAAGTTCAAGAACAGGATATGAATTTGAAAAAAGCTTTTGCTATTTGATTGTTCCACAAAAACCAATTGTGAACAACAACACCAAGATCATATTCAGAGTTGGTCTATTTAAGTATGTGATAAAAGCCAGTTTTGTCAGTCATTAGTTAGTTGGAAGCAAGGATCGTTAAATTTATCATCAATAAAGGTTTCGTTGTTCATCTGTTGTGTGCGACGATGCTTGTTGAAGATCAAATAATTGTATCTTTCTAGATTGAAGCTCATTGAACAAGTATCAGCTCAGTCAACTACTCTATCAATGTTGGTTTGTAAATGCTGCAGTTCAGAGGGCTATTTTATAATTGCAATAAATTTGGTGTTGTCAGCATAAAGTTTGCAATGGTGATTGAGCAGATGATTTAAGCCCGCAACCTTGAGCATGCTTACTTGAAATCTTTATTCAAAGCAGCTGTTATTAAATTCTAGTCACAAGCTGCACTATAATAAATTGTTTTCCATAAGTTCTGTATAAAGGCCTAAATCTTTTCTGAAAAACTCTGGAAAAGTTCTAAATTTTTCAAAATATTTTCAGAAAAAATATTTTAAAATAACATTCGCAGTCAAAATTTTAATTTTTTTTTTTATATATAAAAAATTTCAAAGTCCTGATTTTTCGAAAAATAAAAAATGCAGCATTATTTCATTCTGACCAAAGTAAACAACCGCAAATTTAAGCATGCAACCAAATATTGAAACAATTGACTAGACATTAACTGTAAATGTTAAATCAAATTATAATTATTATAATTAATAAATAAAGAATTATTATTATAATTATAAATAAAGAAATTATACTTTCAATATTTTGTATTGTAAATTATATTTGCATGTATACTTTTAAAAAAATTAATTATAAATATGCAAGTTATAATTGTAGAAATAGTGACATTAGTCATTTCTTGTTTTTATATTGTTTTTATATTGTTTTATATTGTTGTTGTTTACACTTATTGTTATTTCATTTAGAAACTAACATTGTTTAAGATATAATTATAATTCAGAACAACGACTAACTTTTGTTTATGTTAGTTTCTTATTCATTCTATGGAATTTTAAAGAAACACTGGTATTTCAAAGATAAAAACTTCTTGTCAGTGGTTGAAATTGTAATTCACTTACATATTCATTTGAAGTTGTTAATGTACACACAAAAGGTAGGATTTTGCTCACCTTTTTCTTTCCTAAACTATGTCCACAATAAGCTTACCTTGCCAGGCCCCAGGATGCAATGTCGTCATTGAAGGTCCCAGCGAAGCAATTGCAATTGCATTATTCAACAGTCACCAGCTTCACCATCCTCCAAACTTGATTGACATTCATTCAGCCTTCTCAAAACACAAGGCACCTAAAATGGATCGCCCCCACATCAGTCAGGATATCTCAGAAGAAGAGTGGACAAACTTTATTAGTCGCTGGACATTGTTTAAGAGATGTACAGACATCAGACAAGAAGAGATGACAGCACAGCTGTTTCAGTGTTGTGAGGACGACCTTGGAAATCAACTCCTAAAACAAAATCCCATGATAATTAATGAAAATGATGAGGCATTTCTAAAAGCAATGAAAAAACTGGCCGTTATCCCAGTAGCCACTAGCGTAAGAAGAGCAGAACTCCTTCAAATGAGACAGGGACACAACGAAAGTATTTGGTCATTTTATGCAAAACTGAAAGACAAGGCTGCTACTTGCAACTACACTGTACAATGCCACTGCCACCCACAAACAACTGTTGATTTTACCGATGTTATCATACGAGACATTGTTGTTGCTGGGCTATCAGACACTGACATCCGCAAAGATGTACTTGGATGGGTCTCCCTTGACACAGGCTTAGTCACAGATATCATTGCTTTTATAGAGGGTAAGGAAATGGCACAAAATGCACTAGGCTGTAGTTCAACAACAGCAAGTGTATCAACTTTCAGGAAACAAAACAAGAGCAATACACAGAGTAGTAAAGGGACCAATATAACAGCCAAATGTCCAGATTGCTCAGAATCTTACAGTTTATTTACAGAAACATCCAGAGGATGGAACAAAAAACCCCACAAGCTGTGTCTAGACTGTTGGAAAAAGCACAGATCTCGCACTTCTAAAATTAACAACAGAATCATCCCAAATGATAAGAAATCGAATGCAACCAAAGATGCTGAGGCAGGCGGACTTGTGTTAAAGTTAAGTGCAATTGAGCATTCAAAAAAAAAAATTAGATCACAAATGAAGACCAATGTGAAACGACCCTGCACAGGAATAAACCATCACATATTTACCCATGATGGATGGGCCACAGCTCAATTACTTGTT